GGAAAAACCTAGCTAAGCTGAACAAAAAACCCAAGCAATGCCTAGGCAAAGAACCCAGATTGATAAAAAGTAAAAATTGTATAGTTAGGAAACGAAACATTTACCCACTTTTATATATAGATATATTTTTTTAAAACCCAGATTTCAAACTGAACCCAGGGCGTCAAATAAAAAACCCAGATCTGGGGGATAAAAGCCCATCATTGGCAGCCCTGAGTTTAACTAGAGGCAGGATGGGGGAACTGGAGTGGTGATGTAGCGGCTAGACGCTCGCCTGTCAGGGCGAAGTAATAGAGTAGAGGACTCTTTTCCACGCCTTTAGGCGTATAGGGCATATAGGGCTAGACCTGTATTTTATAGACCACTGGGCACAAGATGGTGATGTGATCAGCATCACACCAGCCGCCTTTATTTCCCGGGACTGCACCCGGTACCCAGTGGCGAAGTGGTCACGCCCTTTGCCTGAAGATCATGGGTTCGTTTCACAGCTGTGTATTTCAGTTCACAAGTACACTTTTTACGGAGACCAGGTGGGCATATTCGCCGGAGCCACGGAGTTCGTCGTGCTAGGCAAGCGGAAGCTATTCAACGGAGAGATACTTACACTTTGTTTTTGTAAATCTTGGGTTCAAATTTTACCACTATGCCACCACAGTCCGGCTGCACAGTGTGAGAACCACTAGAGAGAACAGGGTATCAAGGAGTGAGAGCGACCTGATAGATTGAGAACCATTGTTCTGCAAGCATCAAAGAGTGAGTACAGCCGAATGATCTCTTAGAGACGTTCAATGTGGTGCCTCAAGGTGACAGCCAGAAGAGGTAGGCGGGTGCGTTAGCAGGGATACCTGTCTTACCTATGAGATCAGGTGGGCTACATAGATGTTTGCGTCTCAGGTATGTTCTTATTCTCACACCTGTTGCCTGGGTGTATCGGGTAGCTGTCTGTGTCTTCTTCTTCTTCTTCTTCTTCTTCTTCTTCTTCTTCTTCTTCTTCTTCTTCTTCTTCTTCTTCTTCTTTTTCTTCTTCTTCTTCTTCTTGTTTTTCCTCTTCTTCTTGTTTTTCTTTCTTTCTTCTTCTTCTTCTTCTTCTTCTTCTTCTTCTTCTTCTTCTTCTTCTTCTTCTTCTTCTTCTTCTTCTTCTTTCTTTCTTCTTCTTCTTCTTCTTCTTCTTCTTCTTCTTCTTCTTCTTCTTCTTCTTCTTCTTCTTCTTCTTCTTCTTCTTCTTCTTCTTCTTCTTCTTCTTCTGCTTCTTCTTCTTCTTCTTCTTCTTCTTCTTCTTCTTGTTTTTCTTTCTTCTTCTTCTTCTTCTTATTATTATTATTATTATTATTATTATTATTATTATTATTATTATTATTATTATTATTATTATTCTCTCTTCTCCTTCATGCGTTTATCTGAAGGTGTATTAGCGTTGTACCCGTATACAACATGGCTGCGATATTTGTGCCTTTTGGACGACGAATCTCTTTTCTGCCGGCATTTGATTCCCGGGCGAACCTTCTGGAGGTTAACCTGATCCTTCTCCCGTCTCATAAATTGATCAGTTTTAACCGCTTCTGACCAGTTGATCCTCCATATTTAGTCCTTCCCTAAATCTCAGTTTATCCACCACTGTTCATTTGTCCTCTGCCCCCCCCCCACCCCCCTCTTTCCTCCATATCAGAATACGTTGTTCTCCATTCTGCTTAAACCCGGCGAACAGAGATTGTCTGCTTAGGATTCTGTATGCCCGTCTTGTGTTTCCTCTAGGATGAGCTGTGTTGATTTAAGAGCCGACATCATGGCATTCGAGATATCCCCATAAGCGCCCCTTCCCTGTCTTAAGCAGCTAGCGCAGAGTGTCACTGCCAGTGGGCGAATAGCAGTCTGATTTTACGTCCGTCTTTCCTTTCCTCTGAGCGTGGAGTATCGGCCAGGTCCCCTGGTAATTTCTCACCGCTATCACTCTCGACAGACTGTCATGATCCATGTGGATGTGCTCCCATAAGGTGTTAACCTCCTCTGACATCAGTGTTTTACCAAGTTGTGCAGAGCCAGCCAGTCTATCCCTTCCTCTGATGTGAAGTGTCACCAGCTGTTGGAATATTCTCCTCAAACAGTGAAGATCTAGTTGTGCCCCTGCACTGTTCACTCGCTCCCAACAATCCTTGCCAACACCGTGCTGGTCATGCATCAATTTACCTCAAAGTGATGCACCAGCCAATCTGTCTGCCTGTTCGTTTCCAAACGACTGTAGTCTACAAAGTATACCTAGTCATTTGAAGATTTGTTCAGCTTTGTTAAGATTTCACAGCTGTCTGCTGAATGAGTCATTTGAAGATTTGTCCAGCTTTGTTAGGATTTTGCAGCTGTCTGCTGAATGAGTCATTTGAAGATTTGTCCAGCTTTGTTAGGATTTTGCAGCTGTCTGCTGAATGAGTCATTTGAAGATTTGTCCAGCTTTGTTAGGATTTTGCAGCTGTCTGCTGAATGAGTCATTTGAAGATTTGTCCAGCTTTGTTAGGATTTTGTAGCTGTCTGCTGAATTAGTCATTTGAAGATTTGTCCAGCTTTGTTAGGATTTTGCAGCTGTCTGCTGAATGAGTCATTTGAAGACTTGTCCAGCTTTGTTAGGATTTTGCAGCTGTCTGTCTGCTGAATGAGGTAGCCACTGTCGTGCCATTATCCCCAGTCTTCCATTGAGACGTACATTGTGGGTTTCTTTATGATGTCTTGTGTTACCTTAGTCACTGCATATTGGGCATTCATTCCCATGCGTTCCCAGTCCTCAGATGCAGCAGCCACACCAAGGTACATCTACTAATTGTTTCTATGAGGAATTGGTTACATTGTCTTCTTCTGTCTTAGCTTCAAAGATGGCGTGTCGATTTTATCCATCGATCCATCCGTTTATGGGAAATACAACAGCAGATCCACTACGTTCAACCTATTACATGCAGTATTGGCTATAATTGTGGTCTTGTTTCTTTGTGCTAATTATATTGGCTAGGAAATGTTAACTGCACCAAAACTAGTGGCTTGGACCGGTACTCTAGTACCTAGTGAGGGTTGTTGGAGAAGGCGCTGGTATGCACTATACACACCACACAGATAATATATAGACATACGTGTACAATACACATATCTAAATAACATACACACCTGCACGCCCATGTAGGAATGCACGTCTACGTGTTTGTGTACACATACACCACACACACACACACACACACACACACACATACACACACATTGTTACCACTGGAAAAGTATGTGGAAAGAGAGACATAAGAAGACAGGGGGAGAAGATTCTTGAGTCTTTTGTCATGGCATGGAGGGGTGTGCGTGCCGCAGATTGTGGAGAGGCATGATCGCCCACGCCAGTCGGTAAAGCACTTGATGATGATGATGCACACATACAGTGACATAGATACATACACACACATGACACGCACGCCCACGTGGGAATTCTTGTATACGTGTTTATATAGACACATATAATAAAAAGAAGCCGACGTGGTGAAGTAATCTGACGCTCGCCCGTGGAGCGGAAGGGCAAGGTTCCAGTTCCCCAGGGAGCCGGACTTTTGTAGTTTTTAAAAATTAAAATTTTATCAAAATGACCCCAGCTCCCGGGTCGACGAATCCTATTTTATTGCTTTCTTTCTATGCCTGTGTGTCGTAACAACAACTTTCTTTTTCATAAAGAAACTGTTTCTGAACAATCACGTCTTTCGTAAAAAGTGGGTAATTAGAGATTTGCCGAAATAAGATGTATTGTGTCGAAAAGGCGCAGATATCGCCGCCTAGCTGTAAACCTCAGCACAATAGGGAATCCACTGTCTTGTAGTCTCATGGTTTTTGCCCTCAAATATCCAGGAGCAGATTCTGTTTGAATATCTGACATATGTAAGAGGATCTCGTTACTTCTGCACAACCGTGTCCTTGACCCAGACTTGGAAATCTTTGGCCGGGTCAAGAGGGGAGAGGTTAGAGGGTAAGATATAGAAACGGGGTCAATGAGGGTTGCAATCTTCTGTTTTTGTGGTCTCAACGTTAAGGGGCAAAGAGAGAGGGGGAGAGAGAGTGGGAGATCGTGAGAAAGAGAGAGAGAGAGAAAGAGGGTGAGCGTGAGAGAGAGAGAGCGTGAGAGAGAGAGAGAGCGTGAGAGAGAGAACGAACGAACTTTATTTTCAAAGGGTCACATTCAGGCTTGTCTTACATTCGGCCCTTCCAGACTCCCATCTTTCAAACATCACTTGTATTTTATTAATAAAGCATGTTATGTTCATGTAATAATATGCATGTTATGAATGTCTGTAAAAAAAAAAAACATAAGTGGTAAAATGCTGGCGCATGAAAGAGAGAGAGAGAGAGAGAGAGAGAGAGAGAGAGAGAGAGAGAGAGAGAGAGTTGTGGGAGTTCTAGGGCTGGGAGACATAAAGGGGAATGGGGGATGTACCCACTGTATTTCCTTTAAAGTTGAATGCCTCAACCTTTGAAACCACAAGTCTGCTTGGAAATTTGCCACATCTGTAAAATGAATGTTCGCAACAAAGTTGTGGGACAAGTCCAAAGTCCAGGAATTTACCAAAACGGTGGAAAAGGAGGAGAAGGAGAAGGAGAAGAAGGAGGAGGAGGAGAAGAAGAAGGAGGAGGAGGAAAAGGAGGAGTAGAGGAAGAAGGAGGAGGAGAAGAAGAAGAAGAAGAAGAAGAAGAAGAAGGAGGAGGAGAAGAAGAAGGAGGAGGAGGAGAAGAAGGAGGAGAAGAAGAAGGAGGAGGAGAAGAAGGAGGAGGAGGAGAAGAAGGAGGAGGAGAAGAAGAAGAAAAAGAAGAAGAAAAAGAAAAATAAAAAGAAGAAGAAGAAGAAAAAGAAGAAGAAGAAGAAGAAGAAGAAGAAAAAGAAGAAGAAGAAGAAAGAAAAAGAAAAAGAAGAAGAAGAAAAAGAAGAAGAAGAAGAAAAAGAAGATTGACCCCTCACTCTCAGTCGTAATTCCAATTGTGTCTGTTGTCCGCAGGTCCGGCCACTGTCCGCATGGTGTCCAGCAACGGACCGCCAGTGCCCATGCCCATGCAGGTGCCTCCCGGCCACATGGTCCAGCAGATAGTGGACGAGAACGGAATCCTCACCCACGTGATCCTGTCTCCACAACCGCCAGCACCTGGAGCACACATACCTGTCGGACCATTCGTAAGTACCAGCCATTTGATCCTTGTAGTTGTACAGGGTGTTAAGTCTTGCGACCGCCGGGGAGGTGATCAGCCAGTTGTAAAAGTAAAGATCCCTTTTTACGCTTTAGACGCATCGGGCATATGGGAAGAGCACCCATATTTTTACAGACCAATCGGCACTAGGAGGGTAATGTGGTCAGCATTACGCTGGCCGTCTTTACTTCCCCAGGACAGCCATCCTGGTACCCATTTTAGGCTTTGTCGACCTGCGACGCCCCGTACCATGATAAAAAACCCACGCAGTCAGCAGTGGGTTTCGATCGCTGTACGCTGGAATTACGAGTCGGACCCGAAACGCCTAAGCCACTGACGCCGCCCCACAGCCAGTAGTCCGCATAAAAATTATCCAGATCTGTAAAACAGATTTGCAGGCAAACCTCAAGTTCTGGAGCAAGATCTCTTCTTATTCTTTGCGTTCGCTGTCGTAAACTCAGATCAGACCTTCAGATGGGTTTTCTTTATGATCTCGCATGTCGGCAATGGTAATTTATACAATCATAAAAGCCTGGGAAATCGAAGGCCATATACAAAATTTCGTCTTGATACATACCGGAGTAATGATAAATGTTGAGGCTACGACTTTTGGAACGCACTATAGCAGTGTTTCCTAACGTGGGACAACACCCCCCCCCCCCCCCCCCCCCCCCAACAGGGGGGAAATTTGATTGTTGAGAAAGCAGTTAGAAAATGGACTCGTCAATCTTCAAGAAGCTATTCGAATTTTCTAAAGCCTCAAGTGGGGCAGGGCACAAAAAAGGTGGGGACACACTGCACCAAAGTCAGAAGACCTTCAGGCTACTGGCTGTGCCTGTGGCTTAAGCGCTGCCAACAAGCTTTAAAATTCCAAGGTGCCTAGTTCGATCCCAGCATGTTCGCGATTCGGCAGCAGGCCGCATTGCGTTGGTTCCGACTGGGGTGAGTTGGCCGTTCAGAAGCAGTGACGAACAACTAAACATAAAGCTGCCTGTTGAAATCATAAACAGCCGAAATAAATGCTGGAGTAAGTGCTACAACCTTCCCGAAAACAGTGTTTTTCAACCTGTTTACACACACGACCCGTCAATGTTTGGCGGCTTATCGGACAAATGACTTCACACAGAAACAATAACGTATGTAAGTGGCCGTTTATTGGTGAAATCTGATGCCACATAATGACAGTTTCCACTAATGTGACATCTGCTGCTGGTTTGGCCAAACGGTTGGCACGCTGGGCTTTCATGTGGGAGGCCTGGGTTCGAATCCTTGGTTAGTATGAGGTTTTTTTCTGCCGAGGGGGGGGGGGGGGTTGAATCCTCACCTGCACAGCGTGGCGACAGCACTAGCCATGTGGCTCTAAATACACAGGCTCAAACCCCCCCCCCTCTTTTTTTTTCCGCCTACACAGCAGAAGTGGTATATGAAGGCACTAATTGGCAGTTAATTGGCTGCTGGTTAGAGCGCAGACAGTCTGATATCCATAGCTGGATGATAATTCTGGTAGAGGAAACGTTGTTATGTTGAATATCATTTGTACTGGTTTGATTCTCATCCTGCCACGTCCCTTTATTACAGTTCCTCGTGTTGTGACGACCTCCAACCATAAAATTATTTTCGTTGCTACTTCGAAACTTCAGTGAATATGTGTTTTCCGGTTCTGTTAGGCGACCATTGTTAAAGGGCCGTTTGACCCACACAAAAAAGATCGCGACTCACAGGTTGAGAACCGTTGCAATACACGATTAGACAGACATATGTTGCTGCCCACCTGGATTTTTCCATCGCCAACAGGTTGAAGAACACTGCTCTAAAGGATGCGAAACTAAATTTTCCTTTTAAACTCTTCTTCTTTAAGGCTTTACCATGTGGCGTTGGTAGTCGTGTCTATCCCCAACCTTCTGTCCCGTGTACTTCTAGTCAACCTGACACTGATGATCTTCCATAGTTCATGCCTTGTGGCGTTGGTAGTCGTGTCTATTCACAGCCTTCTGTCTCGTGTACTTTTAGTCAACTCTGACACTGATGATCTTCCTAGTTCATGCCGTGTGGCTTTGGTAGTCGTGTCTATTCACAGCCTTCTGTCTCGTGTACTTCTAGTCAACCTGACACTGATGATCTTCCATAGTTCATGCCGTGTGGCTTTGGTAGTCGTGTCTATTCACAGCCTTCTGTCTCGTGTACTTTTAGTCAACCCTGACACAGATGATCTTCCATAGTTCATGCCGTGTGGCGTTAGTAGTCGTGTCTATTCACAGCCTTCTGTCTCGTGTACTTTTAGTCAACCCTGACACACATGATCTTCGATAGTCCATGCCGTGTGGCGTTGGTAGTCGTGTCTATCCACAGCCTTCTGTCTCGTGTACTTTTAGTCAACCTGATACTGTTGATCTTCCATGCCATGATATAACACTGTCCACCATTCTCTCTCTCTCTCTCTCTCTCTCTCTCTCTCTCTCTCTCTCTCTCTCTATCTATCTATCTATCTATCTATCTGTCTATTTATCTATCTCTTTCGTTCTCTCTATTTCTCTCTATCTCTCTCTCTTTCTCTCTCTCTCTCTCTCTCTCTCTCTCTCTCTCTCTCTCTCTCTCTCGCTCTCTCTCTCTCTCTCTCTCTCTCTCTCTCTCTCTCTCTCTCTTTCTCTCTCTCTCTCATCCCCTCCAACTTATCTACTGTCGTTTTGTACTCCAGTTTTCTCCTGCTCAGCACATGACCAAAGAATGTATACTGTCTATTTCTGATATGGGTAATCAGTTCTCTTCATGAGTCGTTTCTTTCAAGACGTCTTCATTGCTCTTTTTATTTGTCCATAGTATTCTCATCATTCGTCTGTAAAACCACATCTCCGCAGCTTCCAGGTACATTTTCACTGATTTACCAACTTCTGCATATTAAGATAGGATTTATATAGTTTTTAAGAATTCTCTTTCTAGACTCAATTGACAAAGAAAGATTGTATTCATTATTCTTCATTTTGTAAAATGCTGCCTTTGCTTTAGTTATTGTACACCTAGCTTCTTAAAACATTTTCCATCTGATGTTATCAGGGAAGCCGTGTTCTTAAACTTTTCAACTTGCTTGAGGTTTGTCTTATTTACTTTGTTGTTACATTTTGTGGGGGCAGTTGTTTTGTTTGAAATTACCATTACCTCTGTTTTTCTGCTGTTCAAACTAAGACCCTTGTTGAAACAACACTGTTTATATATTCTTAAAACACGATACACTGCGCCCCGTTACACTGTACGTTCTTGTTATCAATAATATAAGTGGCAATCAATACATGTCAGTTTCAAAAGGTAAAGTCCCAACTGTCATAACGTCCAGCCCTTACTGTCAGTTCTCTTGCTGGGTACTGTCAATCACCGTGTCGTTTATCTGTGAGCTTACCACAAGTAACCGCACGTTCTTCACACATTTGGGCTCTTGCCCTAGGTTACCACTCATCCCACGTAGAATATACAAAAAATGTAGTGGTTACACAGTGATGAGTGATGCAGGAAAACTTGCCGGTGAATTCTCGGGGCTTAAAAGGGAATGAAAGATCAGTGATACACTATGTAGGGTTACCAGCTGGTGTTATTGGACTCCTCCTCCTCATCCAACTCCTGCTGCTGCTATTATTACTACTGTTATACTGCTGCAGCTGCTACTGATGTTGCTACTGCTGCCACTGCTGCTGCTATTGTCTACTGGTGCCATTGCTACTGCTGTTGCTATTGTTGCCAGTGCCACTGCTGTTGCCACTGCTACTGCTGTTGCTGCTGTTACGACTGCTACTGCTGTTGCTACTGCTGCTGCTGCTGCTGCTACTGCTGCCACTGCTGCTGCTGCTATCGCCTACTGCTACCAGTGCTACTGCTGTTGCTACTGCCACCACTGCTATTGCTACCGCTACTACTGCTGCTGCTGTTGCTACTGCTGCCGCTGTTGTTGTTGCTGCTCCTACTACTACTAGTACTACTACTACTACTACTACTACTACTACTACTACTACTACTACTACTACTACTACTACTACTACTACTACTACTACTACTACTACTACTACTACTACTACTACTACTACTACTACTTTTGCCTGCTGCTACAGTTGCTGCTGCTGCTACTACTACTACTTCTACTACTTGCTGACTGGCGTGATCGTTATGCCTCTCCACAATCTGTGATCTCAGACAGCATGTATCAGTTTCTATGTTTACATTCCTCCATGTCATGACGTAGTACCTCTCCACAATCTGTGATCTCAGACAGCATGTATCAGTTTCTATGTTTACATTCCTCCATGTCATGAGGTAGTACCTCTCCACAATCTGTGATCTCAGACATCTCTGAGACCTCAAGATATTGTTGGCGTGATTAGTTATTGTCTAGGATTCGTAGCTTTCTGTTAAAACTGGCTCTATATAGCTTGCAAAAATCCCTTTTCTAACTTCAAACGACATAGACAAGTGTGTCCCAAACTTCTCTTAGTTGCGGCGCATTTTTTCAATAAAAAATTTCTCCATGGCGCCCTGACCTAAGTAAAAGTAGGACTATTCGTATGTAAAAGATAAAAAAAAAAAAAAAACTCCTGTGTCTTTGAAAATTTCGCGGCGCCCCTCTGAACAGGTCGCGGCTTCCCGGGGCGCCGCGGCGCACAGTTTGGAAACCACTGACATAGACAATGCATTAAATGATCTTTGTTTTATAAAATTCAGTTTTAACCTGTCCTTTTCTGTTCTTAATCTCTGTGATACATCTTCCGTCGGATGTTATGCGTGTGACTAGGTTCTTCAATTTCTTTAAGTGGAATGAAGTAAGTAAAGGACCCGTCTCCGCGCCTTCAGGTGTATTGGGCACATAGGGCTAGGCCTATATCTTATAGCTTTTTATGTTTAGGTTTTAGACGTCGGATCAAAATCGTGGCACAAGGGATAACCCATAAGTGCCCCATTCTACTTTGACTCACGGAATATCAGCGCAATGCTCGAACTCTTTAGCACGGGCAAGGATCCTGAAATACTTCACGTGCGCAACCATACACACAGAAGCCCGATCTTCCTGCCCAGAGACCAGGGGAAATTACTAGAAGTCCCAGCCTCACCGGGGCCTGAACCCGGGACATCCAGCACTGGAGTAGGAGGCATGCCTTAAGACCGCTCAACCCTCCCCCCCCCCCCCAACCCCCGGCCCGCCTAACTGCCTTTCCTTCCTTCATGTAGTTTAATACATCAACTTCTACAGTCAGTATTTAGGAAATATAAAGGGAAGGAAACATAATTGAAATTTTAGATTTGAAAAAAAAAAAAAAAACACAGACACACAGGTCTCGCTAAGGACCGCACATAGACCTCGCTAAGGACCACACATAGACCTCGCTAAAGACTACACATAGACTTCGCTAAGGACCACTTATAGGCCTCGCTAAGGACCGCACATAGACCTCGCTAAGAACGACACATAGACCTCGCTAAGGACCCCACATAGCACTCGTTAAAGACCCCACATAGACCTCCCTAAACACCACACATAGACCTTTTTTAAGACCCCCACATATACCTCCTTAAAGACCACACATAGATCTCGCTAAGGACCACACATAGACCTCTCTAAAGACCACACATAGACGTCCCTAAAGACCACACATAGACCTTAAAGACCACACATAGACCTCGCTAAAACCACATATGTACACTCAAGGTATCGTAAAGGACCACACAAGTACATGCAACCAGCGTTTGTAGGTGGTCGTTTCCTGTGTAGACTGCTTACGAGACATTCCCCAGACTTTGCATCTTGTAGCATTCAACTGGTAGTTGTTTCTAGTGGCGGCCTGCGTTCTTTGGTGTTTTCTTATCGTCTGTGAATGTGAAAGTTTTTTGTTTTGTTGTTCGTGTGGTCGATCTGTCCTAGTTTTTCTCGTGCATGTAGTTAATCTGTCCTCGATTCTGTCGTTCGTCTGGTAGATTTTTTCCTTGATTCTGTCGTTCGTCTGGTAGATTTTTTCCTTGATTCTGTCGTTCGTCTGGTAGATTTTTTCCTTGATTCTGTCGTTCGTCTGGTAGATTTTTTCCTTGATTCTGTCGTTCGTCTGGTAGATTTTTTCCTTGATTCTGTCGTTCGTCTGGTAGATTTTTTCCTTGATTCTGTCGTTCGTCTGGTAGATTTTTTCCTTGATTCTGTCGTTCGTCTGGTAGATTTTTTCCTTGATTCTGTCGTTCGTCTGGTAGATTTTTTCCTTGATTCTGTCGTTCGTCTGGTAGATTTTTTCCTTGATTCTGTCGTTCGTCTGGTAGATTTTTTCCTTGATTCTGTCGTTCGTTTGGTAGATTTTTTCCTTGATTCTGTCGTTCGTCTGGTAGATTTTTTCCTTGATTCTGTCGTTCGTCTGGTAGATTTTTTCCTTGATTCTGTCGTTCGTTTGGTAGATTTTTTCCTTGATTCTGTCGTTCGTCTGGTAGATTTTTTCCTTGATTCTGTCGTTCGTTTGGTAGATTTTTCCTTGATTCTGTCGTTCGTTTGGTAGATTTTTCATAATTTGTGTCGTTCTTTTGGTCGATGTGTGAAAGTTTCTGTCGTTCGTTTGGTAGATTTTTCATTGTTTCTGTCGTTCGTTTGGTCGATGTGTGAAAGTTTCTGACGTTCATGTGGTAGATCTGTGAAAGTTTCTGTCGTTCGTTGGGTCGATCTATGAGTTTCTGTCGTTCGTTTGGTCGATCTATGAGTTTCTGTCGTTCGTTGGGTCGATCTATGAGTTTCTGTCGTTCATTTGGTCGATCAATGAGTTTCTGTCGTTCGTTGGGTCGATCTATGAGTTTCTGTCGTTCGTTTGGTCGATCTATGACAGTTTCTGTCGTTCGTTTGGTCGATGTATGACTTTTTCTGTCGTTCGTTTGGTTGATTTATGACAGTTTCTGTCGTTCGTTTGGTCGATCTAAGACAGTTTCTGTCGTTCGTTTGGTCGATCTAAGACAGTTTCTGTCGTTCGTTTGGTCGATCTAAGACAGTTTCTGTCGTTCGTTTGGTCGATTTATGACAGTTTCTGTCGTTCGTTGCGTCGATCTGTGACAGTTTCTGTCGTTCGTTTGGTTGATTTATGACAGTTTCTGTCGTTCGTTTGGTCGATCTAAGACAGTTTCTGTCGTTCGTTTGGTCGATTTATGACAGTTTCTGTCGTTCGTTGCGTCGATCTGTGACAGTTTCTGTCGTTCGTTTGGTCGATATATGACAGTTTCTGTCGCTCGTTTGGTCGATCTATGACAGTTTCTGTCGTTCGTTTGGTTGATTTATGACAGTTTCTGTCGTTCGTTTGGTCGATCTGTGAGTTTCTGTCGTTCGTTTGGTCGATCTGTGACAGTTTCTGTTGTTCGTTTGGTCGATCCATGACAGTTTCTGTCATTCGTTTGGTCGATCTATGACAGTTTCTGTCGTTCGTTGGGTCGATCTGTGACAGCAACAGTGTGTTACTAAAATGACGTCCCCTTGTGGGTTTCGGTTTTGGAGGGAGGGGGTAAATCACATGTCGATTGGCGCAGATATCGCTGCCTTGTTGTAAGCCACAACACATCGTGTCAACAGCCTTGTTAAAGGGTGTAGGCACAAGAAGAAGAAGGCTGAGCATCTGCACTATAAGACGCTGAGAGAGAGCGGGCATCCAATCATTTGCCCAGAGGGCTGTAACATCGACTCTTTATATACCAAACCACAAGATGTTTGATGAAGGCGCAGATATCGCTACCTGGCTGTGGACCAAGCAAGACGCTTTTTATAAAGGGTGAAAGCACAAGAGGAAGAAGAGGAAAATTTTAATGGTGGTGATGTTTGTGATTATGATGATGATGAATAAGAAGAAGAATAAGAAGAAGGCTCAGCGTGTGCACTGGATGACACTTCATCATCAGGTGCCTTGCCGACTGGCGTGGGCGATCATGCCTCTCCATAATCAGCGATCTCCTGCAGCATGTATCAGTTCGTGCGCCGACACACCTCCATGCCATGCAACAAGACTGTCAAGCATCTTCTCTCATTGTCTTCCTCTAACCCTCCTTCCACAGATCTATCCAGTAGTCACAACATGTTCTATTTTCCCTGTTACTGAGGTCTAATCGGTCGCCCAGAATCCTTTGACGTCCAATCCCCATAAACCAAACCATAAAACCTTTGATGAAGATTTGCGTGGAGACGCCACAGGCGCCTCGACTGTTGGAATCAATAACTAGCCGAAGATTGTGTGAATTCCCAACCTGGCTGATTGTGGACTGAGCTGAGATGACCTTTCAGGCTCACCTGAAAATAGCTCGCTCGTTTGACCTTATGCAGGTGTGGTAGGCGCTTCCCTGTTTGTTGCCTGGGTACAGATGGAGAGCAAAGAATACAGTTGACGCATCAGGAAAATAATGGCACACTCATCTTTTATACGGGAGTCGCCGTGGTCTAGCGGCTAGACGCTCGCCTGCGGGTCGGAACGTCGTGGGTTCGGGTCCCGACAGAGCCGGACCTGTTCATAAATCACCTTGAGTGGGTACCCGGTGCAGTCCTGGGGAGTAAAGGCGGTCGGCGTTATTCTGACCACATCACCCACCAAGTGCCGCTTGGTCTATAAAATATAAGTCTAGCCAAATATAACCAATACGCATTAAGGCGTGGGAAAGAGACCTTTACTTGAATGTTTAAAACAAATGCGCCGCTCCGTTAACTTCTCGAACATAGTAAAAAGCACGCTCGCTGCATGATTACTCCATTCATGCGGAAACTGTAACCTGTGGGAAGCTGCAGTACTAGGATGCTAGCTGCGCACGCATACTCCCAACAGCAAAGCGATGTGGAAGTAAATATCACATGATATCCTCTTCAGTGTAATCTTACCTGCTAACGCTTACACGTGCGAATTTATTCACCCCTTACTACTGGCAGGACCACTTTGCAACACCCCCCCCCCCCCCCCCCCCCCCCCACCCTTTTTCCCCCTACTGAATTGCTTGTGATAAACTTATGAAGATGATTCAGGAGAGGACGCTGAATCGGCAACACTCTAAAGACGACAAGAACTTCAGGTTAAGAGAGGTGTCGCCAAATACGGACGCTTTACAGGCAGCCAAAGTTGAATAGTAAACCAACACAGGACACTACTGTAGATTTACTGAAGATGTGATCCTAGCGATTGTGGACTTGTCCGATGTGCAATGACTGTAATCTGCCGTTTTTAGGTTAGTTGCGTATCCTTTACCGGACGTTGCAGAACCAACCCCAACAGCCCCTGGCTGTTGTGTGGTTTTTCTATGCAAATTAACGTCCAGTAGTTTGCCATTACTTCCTGGACTTTCTTGATACCACTGTCAAAACCAACGCAAGGCGCATGGCCCGCTGCTGGGATCAAACCCAGCATCCCGGCATTACAAAGCGTTCGCATCTACTTAGCCACAGAGCCGACAGTCTGTCGTTTAACTTACCAAAATCTGTTGCTAATGGCATGTTTACAGCGAATGCAAAACTCTCTACATCCACAGGGTGGTCGGGCAAGTGGCAACCAGTATTACTCATCATACGGAGGGCCTCACTATTCGCCGACGCCACCTCAGTACTCACACCGACCTCATCCCCACTCCCTGCCCGCCCACGTGCACGGTGGTATGTCCCAGTCTTCCTCCAACTGCGCCAACCATGTGCCGCATCAGGCGCCCGGTGACTACGGTAAGATGTGTGTGTATTTCTCTGTGTGTGTGTGTGTCTGTATGTGTGTGTATGTCTGTGTGTATGTGTGTGTATGTCGGTGTCTGTGTGTGTGTGTGTGTCTGTGTGTATGTCTGTATGTGTGTGTATGTTGGTGTCTGTATCTGTGTGTGTTTGTGTGTATGTCTGTATGTGTGTGTATGTCGGTGTCTGTGTGTGTCTTTGTGTGTTTGTGTGTGTGTCTGTTTGGTTTTCGTCAGTACAGTAAAGGACCCTTTTCCATGCCTTTAGGCATATTGGGCATAAATTCACTCCCGGGAGTAGGCAGGAAAGCCACATTTCTCCCAGATGTTTGGTACCTAATGTTTGGTACCTATCATGGAATCATGGATGAGAAATTTTGACATGTTAAAAGATCTGAACATCAAGGAAGACTGGCTAATAAACAGCATCCTTTCTTGGAAGTTGAAATATTTTGTTCATATTAAGCGCCACGACGGATTGGAAAATATTATAGCAGAAGGCATGGTACCAGGAAGGAGGGGCAGGGGCCGACCGACACGAAGATGGGCACAGGATATAAGTGACTCCTTGAGTGTGAAAGTTCATGAGGCGGGAGAACTGGCAAGAGACCGAGTTTCTTACAGGCAGACTGTGATGAGAGCGACGCTCTGCAAAGGACCTGCTACATGATGATGATGATCATGGAATCAAGGCCGAAGGGTTGCGATATCCATAGTACCGAGCCAAAGGGTTTACAACTCATGGTTTCTGGATACTTAAAAAATTTTTTGTTTGTTGGCTAGACGTATATTTTGCAGCACTCACTGTGATGTGGTCAGCATTACGCCGCGGCCTTTACTTCCCAGGACTTTACCTGGTACACGATAAGGCTGAGTCGACCTGTGAGCCAAATTGGGTTTTTTTTTAAATTTTTTATTAAGAAAATGAAACGTCTGGCTCGGCCAAAAGCGTCTGGTTGTTACATCGCGGAGACCCCCTTTTTCGTCTTTCATCAGTGTCAGATTTCCCCGTACGAATCGACTTATTGGGAGCATCCTTTGAAGTTAGTGTTTATCTCTGCCTGAGAGGCAAGCAACCAAGAGTCTGCATACAAATAAACCATATATGTGAAACGAATGTGCACACAACACTGAGATTCTGGGGCAAGACTGAAGTCCGGAGGTGGACGAACACCAGGAACTTTCCTCCGGAGTTTACCACTGGTGAACGCGAAGAAGAAGAATATACACTTACTTCACGTGTATGTTACATTCAAAACATAATCTGATTATCTATCACAGACAGGTGTTACCTATCCCCTTGTGTCTGGATCATTTCAAAGATAATCTGATCATCTATCATAGACAGGCGTTACACTATCCCCTTGTGTCTGAATCATTCTGAAGATAATCTGATCATCTATCATAGACAGGCGTTACACTATCCCCTTGTGTCTGAATCATTCTGAAGATAATCTGATCATCTATCATAGACAGGCGTTACACTATCCCCTTGTGTCTGAATCATTCTGAAGATAATCTGATCATCTATCATAGACAGGCGTTACACTATCCCCTTGTGTATGAATTACTAGTTGCATCCTTTCTGGGTTCCGAGGCCTCATTGGGGGGGGGGGGGGGCAAGACCCACTGCCTGGCCAGCAAGCATGTCGTAAAATTCGAGCTTCTTTCGAAGTCGGAATGCATCTGTCCGAGCGGCATGAAACAACTAGCTGCACACAAATTAGCCAGTAAAACGGATGTACACGCAAATTTCAAGCCCATGCACAAAGCCAAAGTTCAAGTGTATGAGCAGCTGGGACTTTCCTGCAGAGAGTACAGTTGGTGAACAAAGAAGAAGAAGAATTACTAGTTTAACTATGTCTGTTCCATAGTGTCTGATGAATTCCTGTCATCCTAAGTGTTTATTGCTTTTATAAGCTCAACTCTTTAGAATAGGGTTAACTATTTCACGGCCAGAAGATTTGGCAACAAAGGCTCAAGTGAGGCAGAATTATGAACACTAAAACAGGACTAAAGACACTAGATATGACCACTCCATTCAATAGTTCATTAACTCCTTCGTTCATCCATCCCTCCACTCATTCATCCATTCATTCATCCATTCTTTTATCCATTCATTTATTCATCCAGTTATTCATTTATTCATCCATCTGTTCATTTATCTATTCATCCCTCCATTCGTTCACCCATTCATTCGTTCATTCAATTATTCATTCATTCATTTTTTCATTTATTCATTCATTCATTCATTCATTCATTCATTCATTCATTCATTTTTTTAATCCATCCATCAATTCATTCATTCACAGGGGCGCCGCGACCGCTTCACAGGGGCGCCGCGACCTCTTCACAGGGGCGCCGCGACCTCTTCACAGGGGCGCCGCGACCCCTAACAAAAAAAAAAAAAAAACGCCGCGACTAAGAAAAGTTTAGGAAATACTAGTCTAAAGGGTTCTTTTAGGTGTCCTCGCATCCCTAATACTTGCGTTTCCCATTGTAATGCCTGTTTGATGATTCTCTACTGGTTTCTTGTCATGATGTGCCCAGCATAGCGTCATCTTCTGTCTAATAACTGTTAATGCTAGTGGTTGCCCCTGATATTTCTGTTTTTTCTTCACTCCTTTTAAATTCATTCCATTTTGATTTGAAATTTTTTCTCAGACGTGTGTTTATGAATGCATTTAACTTTCATTAAGTGGATATAACCGCTTGGTAAGCTAAATCTGACTCTAAGATGTGGAGTCGTATATCTATGTGGGCTGTAATGTTGATAAAGATGGGGGAACTGATAGAGATATTCAATTACGAATACAAAAGGCAACATGCTTTTCATAGCACTATGAAATTTGTAAAAGTAAGAAGTGTTACTAGACTAAATTTTTTAAATTCTTATATCAAAGCAGTACTGTTGTGTGGAGCAGAAACATGGAGAACTGAGGCAATTAATAGGCTACAAACATTTATTTACTGCTGCCTGTTCAGAATATAGGGAAATAAATGGTATGGTGGAATCAATAATGTAGAGCTCTGAAATAAAACTAGACAAGTTCGAGTAGACCAAGACGTGAAGAAAAGACGCTAGTTTTCAATAGGACACACGTTAGGAAAACATGAGCACAGTATAACTAGAATGTCTTTGGACTGGAAGCCACAGGGGCATAGAAATAAAGGAAGACCAAAAAACACACGGAGAAGGGAGGTGGAGAACTTAAAATAATGGGAAGAGCTGCATGCCATGGCGAAGGACAGAACAACGGCGTGAGTTGGTTGAGGGCCTATGCTCCATTAGGGGTTAGAAAGGCAGAAGAAGAAGTTTCTGTAACATGCCCTAGCCAAATTGAAAATTTAACACATTATTGGCTGTCTGTGGCTGACTAGTAGAATCCCCCAGCGTACACAGCGCGTTGTCTGTGGCTGACTAGTAGAATCCCCCAGCGTACACTACACGTTGTCTGTGGCTGACTAGTAGAATCCCCCAGCGTACACAGCGCGTTGTCTGTGGCTGACTAGTAGAATCCCCCAGCGTACACAGCGCGTTGTCTGTGGCTGACTAGTAGAATCTCCCAGCGTACACAGCGCGTTGTCTGTGGCTGACTAGTAGAATCTCCCAGCGTACACAGCGCGTTGTCTGTGGCTGACTAGTAGAATCCCCCAGCGTACACAGCGCGTTGTCTGTGGCTGACTAGTAGAATCCCCCAGCGTACACAGCGCGTTGTCTGTGGCTGACTAGTAGAATCTCCCAGCGTACACAGCGCGTTGTCTGTGGCTGACTAGTAGAATCTCCCAGCGTACACTGCACGTTGTCTGTGGCTGACTAGTAGAATCCCCCAGCGTACACAGCGCGTTGTCTGTGGTTGACTAGTAGAATCTCCCAGCGTACACAGCGCGTTGTCTGTGGCTGACTAGTAGAATCCCCCAGCGTACACAGCGCGTTGTCTGTGGCTGACTAGTAGAATCCCCCAGCGTACACAGCGCGTTGTCTGTGGCTGACTAGTAGAATCTCCCAGCGTACACAGCGCGTTGTCTGTGGCTGACTAGTAGAATCTCCCAGCGTACACAGCGCGTTGTCTGTGGCTGACTAGTAGAATCCCCCAGCGTACACTGCACGTTGTCTGTGGCTGACTAGTAGAATCCCCCAGCGTACACTGCACGTTGTCTGTGGCTGACTAGTAGAATCCCCCAGCGTACACAGCGCGTTGTCTGTGGCTGACTAGTAGAATCCCCCAGCGTACACTGCACGTTGTCTGTGGCTGACTAGTAGAATCCCCCAGCGTACACTGCACGTTGTCTGTGGCTGACTAGTAGAATCCCCCAGCGTACCCTGCACGTTGTCTGTGGCTGACTAGTAGAATCCCCCAGCGTACCCTGCACGTTGTCTGTGGCTGCAAGAGTTGAAGTAAAATCTCATTCGGGCTGAACAAGTTCAGGCAATTATCACTGTTACTGTTATCAAGTCCCTTATTTTGTATTCACCTCAAACACATGAAAACCCGAGTTCCTCGGAAAGTCCGATATTTTAGGGGTATTACGGTTTGAAATAAACACCGACTAGCCATAGCTCTAACCCAAAGACCTCTATAATATTGAACTTTCCCGGAAACTGCGGGATTCCCCATGTTTGGGGTGAACTAAAAAAAATGTAGCCGTTATCGTCGCAGAAAATCCAAATGGTTTGGCCATCTCGCTAGAATGCAGCCATAACAACTACCCACACAGGAGCCACACACGACAAGATCTGATAATGGCACTGTTACCTTAACCATGGAAGTCGCCGTGGCGTAGCGGCTAGACACTCGCGTACGGTTTGGAAGGTCGTGGGTTCGCTCCCTGTCGAAGTCGGACTTTTTTCAATTGACCTTGACTCCTAGGTCGACCCAGCCTTGAGTGGGTACCAGGTGTAGTACCGGGAAGTAAAGGCGGTCGGCGTGATGCTGACCACATCACCCATCTTGTGCCGATTGGTCTAAAAATATAGGTCTAGCCCTG